ATTTTTACAGTATATGAAGTATCTGGTACTAATTTTATTCTCATTATAAAATGGTATTCTATGTATTTAAAAATAAATATATATGATATGAAAATTACATAAATAATTAGACGATAATTTCAGTAATGTGTCTCTGTTATCACCTTTTACAATCACTATTATTTGATCTGTGGTAATTACGATTATTATATGAGAAAATTTAAATTCCCTCATTAGCATTAATTCGCTTAATAAGCTTTTGAAAAGTAATCATCTATGCTTACTTGTCGAAATTCTTTTTATTGTTCTATGAAGTAAATGAAGATATGTTACAGAAATTATAATTTGAAAATTACAGAAAATCAAAAAGAAATCTTTATTTTATTTTTACTTTTGCTTGCTTCCTTTCAGACATTTGTGAAGTGAAATCATAAAATAAAATTAAAAATGTATTAACATATAAGAATTAATATATAAAAAGAAAAAGTTTTTATCAGAGATTATTATTTACTTATTATTATTTTTTACAATCTTAAGTGCTCATTTAAACATTAGAAAACTGAACAATATTTTGTAAATTTTTTAATATAATAATTATATCGCGTCGTTCACAAAATTATAGATGTATATTCTATTATAAATGACTATAATGATTGTAAGAATTATATATTAATATAATGTTGAACAGATCACACAAGTTAAGATTTGATTCAATCCTTTGTCGTGGAAAATCTTATAATTTTTTTGTAGCGCTTTTTGAACTATTTCTTAATCACTTTTAGTTTTTTTGACTTTTAGTTTTTACATTCTCCTAGGCAAAAATTCTAGATAAACAATCCACGATGAGTCACGTTTAATTTCTTGACGTCGATTTCTCTTCTTTCCCACTTTTCTTTCATTAATCTCTTCTTATTAATTATCCACAAAATATTTTATAATAATACTTAAAAAAAGGGTAGCTAAAAATAAAATGAGGTGAAAAACAAAGTAGTTGTTGCTATAGTTACAATGGATGAGATAAATTTTAAATTAAAAATTCAAACAATAAGTTACTTTCATTAACTCTGATTAAAAAAACTAACTTTTCTAATTGTCTCAAAACAGTTATGTTCATAATCCCGATCACTACTTTCTCTAAGAAACGAGTCTTCACGTTCGATTTGATTTACCCTGCAATTCCAATCAGCTGCCGTTAATATGGCGCTAAACGATCAGAACGAAAATGGTTGCATTTGAAATACATTTAACAATGGAAAACGAGATCAAATTTAATATGATAAATCTCAACAATTCGCTACCGTTGTCAAACAAATAATGTAACACGTGAATAAATGCATCGTTTTTCTTGACAAAAACGTTACGTGATATTGAAACTTAAAATTTGAATTATCATAAATTGAATTTTTCTCTCGTTTTTTATTACAGTTCGTCAAAAGTAGCAAAAGAGTTCCTATTAAATATTTTAAAGAAAATTCGTTTAATCCTGTTTTCATGTGCGCGTGCATATACATGTAGAAAATACGTTATTCCCGAATTTTGCTTATCATCACGACAATTGCAATATTCATTAAGATTGTAGGATTACTTTGTAAAAATCTCCATCGTGCATATAATCAGAGGGTTGGCTTATTTCGATTAATGTCGAATGCAGCGCGCGTTTTAAGACCGCAATGTTAACCATTGTAAATCAAATTTTCCTCTTTACCAATGCAATCCGAACCGCCTTCGAGAATATCGAACCGATAAAGCAAAACTAACATATATATAGTTATATAATTTTAGAATATCCGTTCTATTTTACTACTTATTATTTATCAAATCACGCTTTATCAGATATCAAGTATATATCCGAAAGTTATTTACATTAATATACATATATAAATTTATAAATATTAATATACATATATAAATTTATATGTATATTAATTTGAAATAAAAATTTAAAAAAATAATTTAAAATATTAAAACTCGATTTCAAATTAATTTAAGAATTTAATATCTATTATAAAAGATGCTGAATGCGTAGGATGTTCTCTGTATAAAAGAGGGCGCAGGCAGTTCGTCGGATAACTTGCAAGAAATATCAAAAGTCTACCAGGGTACTCGTTAGATTCATTTTCCACGAGACTCGTGCTTGCAAAGCGCAAGACGCAAGCAGAGAAGCGCGGGTATCTCTTGCGTAGCGTCCTTACGTCCCATTCGAAAATAATACGGCGCCTCTCGTTAAATTACCCGCCCACGCTCGTTTCGCTTCGTCCGCGCGTAATGCGTCACCCCCTTTCCGCCTCTCCAACCTTCTCTCTCTCTCTCTCTCTCTCTCTCTCTCTCTCTCTCTCTCTCTCTCTCTCTCTCTTTCTCTCTCTCTTTCTGTGCCCTCCCCGACGTAATGTACATAAATACATTTAATCTCGCGCTCCTGCTGCCCTCCTGATATTTTTCGAGAGATCGATCGAGCCGCGCGGTCCCACATTTTCCCTGCTAATTCCGAGATCTCGTTTGTGAATTTCGGTCGACGTTGGCGCGTTCCAAAATTGGTATTGGCGATCCCTGGCAGCGCTGAGTTTCTGGCTCGAGCGTCGGGGGTATGGCAGAAGCGCGCGGCTATAATAAAGGCGCGCTCCCCTCTCTCCCCACTTGCCGTGCCCCGCCTGGTTTTGCTTCTCCTCTCCTCTTCTCTCTTTTCCTCTCTTCTCTTTTCCTCTCCTCTCCTCTCCTCTCTCCTCTCTCCTCTCCTCTCTCTTCTTTCCACTCCTCTCCTCTCCTCTCTCGTGTCATCCCGCTTCGCCTCGTCTCACCTCGTGCTGTTGCCGCGCGCGCTCGCTCGCTCGCTCGCTCGCCCATTCGCTCGGTCCCGCTTCGCCGGGTGGCAGCGGTACCCTCCTCCGACTACCGCACGCTCGGAATCGGAAAGGGGAGACCGCGCGGCGACGTGCGCAAGCGCGAGGGTCGAATGGAAAAAAATCGGCCGGGCTGACGACGGGGGATGGTCGTCGTATCGATCGCGCTAACATCGGGGACCGAGAGCGCCGAGAGTCTACGGGTATAACCGTGATGCAGCCACGGTGACGAGCTATACCCGGTTCGACCGAGAGTGGATGACGCGCCGCTGGATCCTGGAAAGAACTCAATTATATATATCTTATTTCGACGTTATAACGAGAAATTCACGGCGTAGTTCTCTTGCTGTGTATTAAATTGATCGTATTATTGCTACCGAATTGATTCAACAATGACAGAAACGCGTGCATTACATGAAATTATTCGAATCGCAATCGATCGCTTACTACGACCGATAGAAGAACGCGAATCATTAGCGGACTAGAGCGTACTTGAGAGCACGCTCTTGTTCGGATGGCTCTGCTCCCCATTCGCGTCGTCCTGCGTGAGAGAGGCACAAGGTAGCACGCGTTGCCGGTCCCGGAAAAAGCCTCATCCGTTTATACGTTCTACAAAGCGCGCAACAAAAGTCAGAGCCGATGTCGCACGAACGCTCCCGACGTCGCTCGAAGTTACGACGGGATGGAAAGAAAGATGATACGAGATGGGACGAGAAACGGAGAGACAGAGAGGGCACGAGCGAATGAGTGGAGAGGTAGAATGTATAGTTGCGGGAGCAAAGGGACAGGGGGATGACGATGAAAAGGGAAGAGCG